CAGATCTGTGCCTCGACACAATCCTGTCTCAGAGGTCTACGGACAATTCCTTCAACCTCATGGCTTGGTTTCTGTTCTGACATGCACTGTCAACTGTGGGACCATATATAGACAGGTGTGTGCCTTTCCAAATCATGTACAATCAATTGATTTTACCACAGGTGGACTCCAATCAAGTTGTAGAAACATCTCAATGATGATCAATGAAAACAGGATGCATCTGAGATCAATTTCGAGTCTCATAGCAAAGGGTCTGAATACTTATATGAATAAGGTATTTCAGTTTTTGTTTTTCATGAATTTGCAAAAATTGTTTTTGCTTTGTCATTAATGGGTGTTGTGTGTAGATTGCTGAGGATTTAATTTTTTTAAATCCATTTTAGAATAAGGCTGTAACGTAACAAAATGTGGAAAAAAGTATAGGGGTCTGAATACTTTCCGAAGGCACTGTATGTGTTTTCTATCCCTCCTGGGCTTTACAAATGTTCCCCACCCATTGGCTGCAACCCTTCTAATTTAGTGTATGCTTTGCGCACAACCCATGTGGAAATCCTGGTCTCTGGCAACATTTGGAACTGTCGCTCTTCGGTCAAGAACGGCAAGTTAATCTCAGCCTATGCTGCCCTTCAGTCCCTTGACTTTTTGGCCCTGACGGAGACATGGATCACCCCAGAGAACACTGCTACTCCAGCTGCTCTCTCTTCATCTGACTACGTTTTCCGAGAGCATCTGGTCATCGCGGTGGTGGCACAGGGCTACTCATTTCTCATAAGTCCATCTCTTCATTTTGAATTTCATGCTGTTTTGTCACTTGTCCACTCAAGCTTAACATTGTTGTCATCTATCGCCCACCATGTGAACTTTGAACATTTGTCAATGTGCTTGACACCTTGATAAGCTCATTACATGACAATTGCTCACTTCTCTTCGTACCTGGCGACCTCCCGACGTATGCATGTGAATAATTATTTGTATAGATTTTTTTTACAGATTTTCTTTTTAGGGGATGTCACGTCTCCTCCCGTTGCTCCCCTCCGGCGCTCTGATTTGCCGGTCTACTGAGCCACCGGTCTGAGCGCACCACCTCTGCAAACACAGGAATGGAAACCCAACGCACCCTAATCACCTCCAGTGCACCTGCACCTCATCATCTCATCACCACTACTATATAGCCCTGGACTGTTCATTCATTTTTGTATGTAATTGTTAGCGTTGTGTCGTTTACTCGCGCTTTGTTATTCTCTTTCTCATTGCTAAGTAAACATTTACCTTGTTCATTCCTGCGTTTGCGTCCTGCCTCTTCGTATCCTCAGTACTCGTCACAGAATTACACACCACTCACGAAAATGGATGCAGCAGGTAATCCTCCTGGAGTTTCCCAATGCCTCGACCACCACCAGCAGCAGCTTGCCCAGTTGAACACCACCATGCAGGAAGTGCTCCAAACGCTGCATAATCTGCCCAGCGCTCCGGTTCCACCTCAGGGAGCAGCGAGTGCACCCAGTCCACCTGTTCCCATTCTATCACCCACTTTTGAGGGAACCCTCGCCCTACCGGAGCACTATGATGGAAAAACTACTAAATGTAGCGGCTTCCTGCTACAGGTTTCACTTTATCTGGCCTGGGGCATATCCATCTGACCAAGCCAGGATAGCACTGGTGATTTCGCTACTGAAAGGAAAGGGAAGGAGATGAGGCCGTGGCCGCTTCCCTACTCCACCTTCCTCGCTTGGTTCAGGGTGGTGTTTGATCATCCCACGGAGGGAAAGGACGGGGGTGAGCGTCTCCTCAAACTACAACAGGGAGAGGTGCCCGCGTCCGAGTACGCTCTGAGCTTTCGCACGGTGGCGGCGTCTTCCGGCTGGAATGAGCGTGCTCTGCGCACAGCCTTCAGGAAAGGCTTACAGGAGGACAACAAGATGGAACTTGCATGTTGGAGATGGACCTTGATACCCTCATCGCCACGTCCATCCGTCTTGAAGACATGTTGAGAGACAGACGGCGTTCCCAACACCTCCCGGAGCCTCGACGCTCACCCCATCTGAGCTATGGAAGTCACCCTGCCTCCGAGTCCTCACCCATGGAGGTGGGCAGCACCCCCTACACCACCACGGACCACAGATCTCCTGGTGGCTCCCAATATAGGCGGTGTGACTCCCGTAGCCGCTCCGTGAGTGTTACGTCATCTCCGATCACAAAACCATTGTTTTTAGTTCCCATAACGGTGACTGGTTATTCCTTCTCTTCCATTTCCACTGAAATGATAGATTCCGGATCAGCAGGGAACCTTATTGATAGGGAGCTGGTCTCTCAATGGGGGTTTCCCACCGTGCCACTGCCTTCTCCGCTACACGTCACCTTGCTGGACAATAAACCACTTGGATCAGGCACCATTATGCACGTCACTCCCCATCACCATCACCATTCCCACACTACGAGGAGCTGTCATTCCAAATCGTCACGTCACCCCTTCACCGGATCGTCTTGGGATTGCCCTGGCTCAGACTACACAACCCCACCATCAATTGGATCACCAAGAGGATCACAGCCTGGTCCACCTCATGCCGGAACTATGGAGTTGGAGACAGGGAGCTGTTGGCGGTGGTCCTCGCTCTGGAGGAATGGAGACACTGGCTGGAGGGAGTAGTCCATCCATTACGGATTCTTACTGACCACCGGAATTTGGAGCACATACGGGCAGCGAAACGGATGAACTCTCGTCAAGCCAGGTGGGCCCAATTTCTTACTCGCTTTCAATTCATTCTGTCCTACCGCCCAGGATCCCAGAATATGAAAACCGACGCACTCTCCAGGATGCACCATACCGGAGAAAGGAAGGATCTGGGGGGTCCTATCCTGCCCCGTCTCTCATCGTTGCACCTGTCGTTTGGGATGTGGACGAAGACATCCGCCTGGCGGATCAGGAAGACCCAGCGCCTGCCAACGCCCCTCCGGGCGGACCCAGCGTGTATGTACCCATCACTGTCCGTAACCACATGCTGATCTGGGCACACACCACCCTTACGGCAGGGCACTCCGGTATTACGCGCACCCTGCATTCTCTAGCACAAAAATACTGGTGGCCCACCTTGGCTTCTGATGTCTCTCGCTATGTCAACTCCTGTTCCGTTTGTGCCCAAACGAAGACACCTCGGAACGCCCCGGCACGCAAACTAGTTCCTCTACCAGTACCTCAGCGACCTTGGTCACACCTGTCCATAGACTTTGTCACCGACCTCCCACGTTCTGACGGCTTCACCACAGTCATGGTGGTAGTAGATTGGTTCTCAAAATCATGCAGTTTTTTGCCACTAACTGGTCTTCCTTTTGCTCTCCAGGTCGCTGAGGTCCTGTTCCAACAGGTCTTCCGGCACTATGGACTTCCGGAGGACATCGTCTCAGATCGTGGCCCCCAATTCACCTCCCGAGTGTGGAAAGCTTCCCTGGAGAAGATCAGGGCCATGGCCAGCCTCACTTCCGGGTATAGGCCTTAGTCAAATGGGCAGGTGGAGCGCATGAACCAGGAGCTGGGGAGGTTTCTTCGTTGCCACTGTCAGGACTGGCAGGGTGAGTGGGCAAGGTTTCTTCCCTGGGCAGAATATGCCCAGAACTCCCTCATTCACTCCTCCACGGGGCCAACTCCCTTCCAATGCGTCCTAGGGTACCAACTGGCCCTGGCCCCTTGGACACACAGCCAGAACGATGCGCCCGCTGTCGACTAGTAGTTCCGCATGGCCGGACAGCTCCGGGACGCCGCCCATGTCTGTCTCCAGAGGGCCATTCATCGGCAGAAGGACCAAGCTGACCGCCACCGCAGTGAGGCTCCCGTATTCCAGCCTCATACTCAACCTCGAAAAGATGGAGCTGTTCTTCCACCTCTTCATCACGGTTGACAACTCCACGGTTTCCCCCTTCCAGTGTGAAAATCACCTTGGTGTGACCCTGGACAACACCCTGTCGTTCTCTGCAAACATCAAAGCAGTGACTCGCTCCTGCAGGTTAATGCTCTACAACATATGTAGAGTACAACCCTACCTCACACAGGAAGCAGTGCAGGTCCTAATCCAGGCACTTGTCATCTCCTGTCTGGACTACTGCAACTCGCTGTTGGCTAGGCTTCCCTCTTGTGCCATCAAACCCCTGCAACTTACCCAAAACACTGCAGCCAGCCTGGTGTTCAACCTTCCCAAGTTCTCCCATGTTACCCCACCCCTCCACACACTCCACTGGTGTCAAAGCTCGCATCCACTACAAGACCATGGTACTTGCCTATGGAGCAGCAAGAGGAACTGCCCCTCCGTACCTTCAGGGTATGCTTAAACCCTACACCCCAACCTGAGCACTCCGTTCCGCCACTTCTGGTCTCTTGGCCCTTTCACCCCTACGGGACAGCAACTCCCACTCAGCCTAGTCCAAGCTCTTCTCTGTCCTGGCACCCCAATGGTGGAACTAGCTTCCCCCTGAAGCTAGAACAGCAGAGTCCCTGCCTATCTTCCGAAAAACATCTGAAACCCTAACTCTTCAATTAGTATTTTAAATACCCCCCCCCCCCCCCTTATTTAAATAATCCCCCCTTAAAAGCCTTTTGTGAACTAACACTCGCACTTGACCCCCCTTTAGTGAGGAAAAATGTACTTACTATGACTGTGATATGTGGTCCCACCTGGCTATATTAAGATGAATGCTCTAACTGTGAATCGCTCTGGATAAGAGTGTCTGCTAAATGACTAAAATGTAAATATGACAAATGTGTATCATTGTTAATGTTCAGACAATTATTGTTCATACATCATGAATAAACACAGGCTAATTACTTTTCTACTATTACGTGCAGTACTTTTATTTTGAAACTTTCCTAAACCGTGACCCGGAAGTACTTTGTTTGTGTTGCTGATGAGACACTAATTACTTTCTGGATGCACCGTTGTAGTTGCCATTTCCACATGTATTTATTTTATTGCATGTTGATGACAGCTGTATGCTGTTAGATTTGTTGTTTATTAGCCTTACATACATTTGATAACTTTTCTATCATGAACAAACGAGTCAAAACTACTGCCAGTACGGGTAGGGGTTGTTTGTAAAAGTAACGTTAGGTAGCTGTTTTTTCGTTTGTTTTTTACAGTTTATGCTATTAACCCTGGCTAACGTTAGTTGGAGTAGCTCAAATTCTTACTAGTAACCTACTAGTATAGCTAACTACATTCATTTCATGTTCATATCATGTTGGCTTTCTTTCTAAATCTAGCTAGCTAGTTAGCTATTGCTGCTAAATATAGTAAAGCCAAAGATTATAACTCTCATCTGTGGTATAGCCTTGATATTGTAGTCGAATATGATTTTTTTTTTTTATGCAACTACAGCCTAACATTTTTTTGTTCTCTTCTTTCCATAGGCCCCCCACTTCCTCTCTCGTCTTTGCGACTCTTGGTTTCTCCCCTGCGACTGATGTATTCATTTGTGTGGCATGTGGTGAATCAACGAAATGTGATGCACTATGGGAAGGTCGAGGAGTTTGTAACTGTGGTGACTGAAGCAGTTCCAAAGTTGCTGAGTTACAAACAGAGGGCTGAACTCATCCTGGGCCTGAGAGCCAGGGTGAGTGACATGTTGTGTGGTCATGGGAGGGGTAGTTGATTATGCTTTGATTGACACGTTTGTGTCAATGCCAGTAGAAACTAGATGTGTGTAAGGTAGGCGGGGAAGTTTCAAGTTTACTCAATATCTCCATGATTCCCCTTATTTAGATGATCTTGGAGATGTTCCGCAAGGATTGTCCACCTAACCCTCAGGCCATCCAACGTCTCCTGGGAAAGATGAACATCAGTGCGTCCACAGGGGTAAGAATATTTTTCTCTCTCCTGCATACATTCAAAGGGTGTAACAGCTACTCATTTTAATTGCTTAATTCAGATAACCAGATAAGTTATACTTGTATCAAATTATTCACATTCTGTGTTACAGCAGCAAGATGCGGAAGTGGAGGAGTCGCAGGCTAACTTTGTGGCACTGGTCCAAACCCTTCTAAAAAATCCTTATGAGAGGAAGCACTTCTTCCAGGTTTGACATACTTCCTCTCTCTCCCTTTCGTCTGACTTGCTTTAAGTGGCTCGTCATTCAGGTATCTTTCCTCTCATAGACACTGTCACTCTTTCCTTCCCTGTAGGAGGAGTTCCATACACAGTATGGTTCCAAGTATGACACAGCACTGCAGGCCCTTGTGGGAGGCTTGGTCTTCAGACTGGAACAACTGCTATCTGTGCCAGATCTCTCCCAGGTAATAAACGTGTACATGACAAGTCTATAACTAGCAGTTCACTGATCATACCTAATTTTGTCATTATTAGATAACAATTTATGTCAACACATGCCATATTATTGTCTTTACACGCTAAGCCACCTCCCTTTTGCTGATCTTAGGTTCTTCCTCTCATTTTCAGATAGCATCTATGATCAGTGCTGCCCCCTCTGACCTGGAGGAGTGTGGGCAGTCTGTGTCTGACCCTGAGCAGCTGAAGATCCTCCTCCAGCACCAGAACCAGCTAAATAAAACCCAGTTCAACAAAAATGGTAGGCTTGAAAACTTGTAGTCTCTACTTAAATCATTATCTGTTATCCTCCCTGTGTATTTACAGTAGATTTATAAACAGCTAAACAAAGAACATTACAAGTTTTATTTTTGACATCTATAATTAAAGGTACAATGTGTAGAAATCGCTCAGCCATTACCTGGTTGGTAAAACGCCTAGTTTCAGTTAGTGACAAAACATGCAATTTAGAGAATTGCTGTACAATATAAACCGCTATGAAATATATTTTCAATAATCATAAATATCATATTTTTAGCTGTATGAATTTAGTTTACAAAACCTTAAATAAAAATATGCAAAAGCTAAACATAAGGACAGAAGGCATAGAAATAGCATGCTTAGAACCAATATACCACTTTTCAGACTTGCTTACAACGCGACAGACAGATCTATAACTCATATTTCTATGTAACTTTGGTCGGGTCGCGCACAAAGCTGCATACAGGACCTTTCAGTTCATTACGAACCATTTAATGCTTTAAAAAAAAATAGGAATGTAAATAAAAAGCCTAGTCCTTTTTAATTCGCAGAATATACTTAAATGTAATGTACTTAAATATTTTTATATATATTTTTTTTTTTCAGTACCTCTCACTTCCTCTGTGGGTGACTGTGTGCTGTCTTCGCTGTCCTTCCGCCTCGCCTGTGGAATGCCATCAATGGAGCCAGATTTTGACGAGCCATCAGAATCATTAGAAGCCACTCTAAGCGTCATGAACCCTGCCTCCTTCAGTGACTTGGAGGATCTGGGATTGATGTCAGATGACTCACCCCATGCTGGAGAAGATAGTACTGTGGAGAGAGAAGAGGATGCCAGGGGTAACGGAGGTGGGGCGAGAACTGCAGTGCGTGACAGTGAAGAAGAGAATGCACTGCCAGAGAGCGCTGTGGTCTTCTCTAGTCCTCAAGGTGTTAGCGGACTGGTGGGAGGGACACCATCAAAAGGTGCACCAACAGTAAGAAGTATGCTGCAAACAGAGGGACACCAACAGCTTGTATCACGGATGATGAGTAGTTCCTTCACCAAAGCCTCTCCTTCACAGATAGTCAAATTAGTCATCCCTGCCACGGTCACCAATGGGAACCAACCGGTTAACCCACCGGTTGAAGTAGCGAGTGTCCACCAGTGGGTCTCCCATATTGTAAGTAACTCTATCTCACTCCCTTCCTTGCCACCCCTTCCACAAAACAATGATGTAGACAAGGAGATCTGGTCAGGTGACACATGTCTTGGAAGCAGTGTGGTAATTGGGGGTCAGGAAACAGAAGCCAATCTCTTTGAGAAGGCTGTTATCCGAAGGAGACGGGCACCCAAGCCACAAAGAATAACGGTACCCTCGAAAAGGAAAATCCCTGAGGCAACCATCGTTTGCCAGGAGTGTGGGAAGAGTTTTGTCTATCTGTCTCAGCTTGAAAATCACCTCCGCATTCACACAGGAGAGAAACCTTTCAAGTGCACTGAGTGTGGCAGGGCCTTCAGGTCCTTAGGATACATGACCACTCATATGAAAAATCACTCTGAAGCACGGCCATTTAAGTGTGAAGAGTGTGACAAGGGCTTTCGGAAAAAGGCTGACCTGAAGAAGCATCAGCTCATCCACACGGGTGCGAAACCACACAAATGCACCATCTGCGGAAAGGGCTTCAGCCAAGCATTCTATTGCAGAATACACATTGAGTCTCATGCAAGTGAAAATAACTTTCCCTGCACTCATTGTCAGAAGAGATTCCCAACCCAATACAAGCTGTCGGTCCACGAGCGCTGGCACACCATGGAGCGCCCGTTCATCTGTGAGCAGTGTGGGATGCGCTTCTTTCATCCCAGTGGGCTGAAGAGGCACATGGGCTATCACATTGGGAACCGCCCGTTTCTGTGTGCCCAGTGTGGAAAGACTTTTGTTTATGAGTTTGACCTGAAGAAACACCAAAGGGACCATGGCCCCAAGCCCAAGATCCCATGCCCTGTCTGCCAGAAGGTGTTTGGCAGCAACGGACTCATTAAGGCCCACATGTTTACGCACACCTCTGTAAAACCTTACAGATGTGACATATGTGACAAGACCTTTAAACAGAGCAGCAGCTTGAGCAGTCACAAACGGCTGCACACGGGTGAACGCCCTTACCACTGCGACGTGTGTGGGAAGACATACAAGCTGAATCAGCACCTGAAGGAACACATAATTATCCACCACACGGATGAGGGGCACCCCTGTGACCAGTGTGGAAAGGTCTTCAAGTTACCACGTCTTCTAAAGGCGCATGAGCGGTTGCACTCAGGAGAGCGATCTGAGCAGACAAGAAAATACAGTCACACCAGCCGTCGCAGGAGAAATTCCTCCAAAAGGAGTTGATTTTCTGCACAGTGGCTGCCCTCCACGCACACAATAACTGGGATGCTAGTTTTATTGTTCTGACACAAGTTTAACTTTGTCACAATGCCATTAACTGTAATCATGTCCTCATTTTTTGTTGTAAACTTGACAATTTTGGACCATAATCCAGGATTCCCTAGGCTGAACATTGACAAATGGTAGAATTAATTCATGCAGAAACAAACATATATCCTGTTAGATAACAATTAATGATTGTGTCATTAAAACATATTTGTTTGTGATGTTTTTGGGGGGATAGGTTATTGAAATTCCAATGACATACGATTTAATACAAATTGATAGCTACTCACTTATTTCTCTTTTTGAGAGTAGTCAATGATTGCCGGATGCCTTTACTAAAAAATATGCACAACATTTTATGTTGGATAAAGGCAAATAAAGTCAAAAATGTGTGCCACTATTCACTTGTTTTGATATTTTATTTTAAAACATTCACAGCAAGGGAAACCAAATGTATGCCCGAATGGTCCTGTGCGATGACTTTTTATAATACATTTAAAGTATTCATTAAGCCACAAAATACAGATTAATACTCATCCAAATATATATACAGAAAAATTATCAAATTCATGTTTTTACCTAAAATGTAATTTCAGGAAACCAGAGCAGACCCATTCAATTGCGGCTCTTATTCCAGCACGATAGGTGGCGGTAATGATGCTATGCTGCCAATCTTGTTAATATTCTGGTCAAAACCCTGTTCTGGTTCCGTTTCCTTCTGTCGTTATTGCCATTTTCACACAAGTGTCAGTGAGTTGGTGATAGCTATCTAGCATGCTACGCTAGTTACCTTCACTGTTAGATTTCTGCTTAGCGTACATATTTGTTAACATTCCGGCATGGACAAACGAGTCAAGAAGACTACAGCCAGTACGAGTAGGTTACATTATGACACTTGCTACCCATGTATTAGCAATCTAACCAATTTTACAAATGTGAACCTGGCTACAGAGCCAAGTAACTGCAGTGCGGAGTGCTAGCTAGCTAGCTACATTATCTTCAATGGATAGCTTATTGTAAAGCTAATGTTCATTTCGGCTTGCCTTCTAAATTAAGTTTGCTAGCTAGTTAGCCATGTTGCTGAAGGTATTTGTTGCTAAAGGACCTAGAGGATGAAGCCACACAACCTAACATTTTGTTCTATCGTCCTGCTATAGGACCCCCACTTCCTCTCTCGTCTTTGCGACTATTGGTTTCTCCCCTGCGGCTGATGTATTCATTTGTGTGGCATGTGGTGAATCAACGCAATGTGATGCACTATGGGAAGGTCGAGGAGTTTGTAACTGTGGTGACTGAAGCTGTTCCAAAGTTGATGAGTTACAAACAGAGGGCTCAACTCATCCTGGGCCTGAGAGCAAGGGTGAGTGACATGATGTGTGGTGATGGGAGGGGTGGTTTTGACACATTGTGTATTAGAAAAATCATATACAATTTTGTCCCATTATTTTAGATGATCTTGGAGTTGTTCCGCAAGGACCCACCCAACCCTCAGGACATCCAATGTCTCCTGGAAAAGATGAATATGTTGGGGGTAAGAATATTTATCTCTCGTGTGGAAATTCTTCCCCATACCAACGAACAACTCACACCTGTAACACATCATATTCAAGAATGACTGTCAATACCATTAACCCAGAAAAACCAAGGCTGAGGGTAAAATATGCGCAGTAGTCTGATTTGTAAATAGCCTTTAGCTCTGCAGTGTACAGATCTAAGGGGACTGGATAGGTTTAAACGGCATACAAGTGTTAACACCTTCCAGTGAGGTTGCGGGAGCTTTCTGCCATATGTCTTGCTTTGCTGTCACCCATCTGATTCCTTAGATATGCAAACTACAAACATGGTTGTGGTAAGAGATAAAAGTTGTTTTCAGCCTGGTCTTATGACTTCTACAACCGTCACCCATACACTCAATACCCCTCTTTTTAGTAACATGTAATTCTGATGACCGAAGTGGCTGTACTTTGTATCAAATTATTCTCAATCTGTGTTACAGCAGCAAGATGCAGAAGTGGAGGAGTCGCAGGCTAACTTTGTGGCGCTGGTCCAAACCCTGCTGAAAAACCCTTATGAGAGGAAGCACTTCTTCCAGGTTCGGCAGGCTTTCTCCATTTCCTCTCACACTGTCCACTTTGTCATGTCATAGACACTGACTTTAACTTTTTCTTTCCTTCCCTGTAGGAGGAGTTCCATACACAGTATGGTTCCAAGTATGACACAGCACTGCAGGCCCTTGTGGGAGGCTTGGTTCTCAGACTGGAACGACTGCTATCTGTGCCAGATCTCTCCCAGGTAATGAACTTGTACACAACAAGTCTATAACGAACAATTCACCAATCATATCTAATGTTGACATTGTTAGACAATTATATATATGTGTCAACACATTCCATAGTATTGTTTCTGCCACACGCTCTAAGAAACCCCCTTGTTGCTGATCTTAGCTTCTAACTCTCCTTCTCAGATAGCATCCATTATCAGTGCTGCCCCCTCTGACCTGGAGGAGTGTGGACAGTCTGTGTCTGACCCTGAGCACCTGAAGATCCTCCTCCAGCACCAGAACCTGCAAACTAAGATTCAGTTTGGTAGGGTTACTTTAATTATGATCTCTTCTCCATGTTAATGTTTAGTGGAATTATCACATTGGAATTATCAACAGCTAAACAAAGAACAATGTAGTTTTCCATTTTTGAGTAACTGCCATGGTTCTCTATTGATAACTTTGAACCAGCTGTATTTACAGGAATTTGAATTATTTTTAAGTGGTATTAATCTAAACATCCCCAATACTTGGCTTTCAAATTCAACCAATAAGAATGTGGTTGAATATAAAATACTCATAGATTTTTTTTTGTATTTGTCCCTTTTTCTCAGTACCTGTCACGTCCTCTGTAGGGGACTGTGTGCTGTCCTCGCTGTCCTTCCGCTTAGCCTGTGGAATGCAGTTCATGCAGACAGATTTTGTCGAGCCAGCAGAATCATTAGAAGCCGCTCTAAGCATCATGAGCCCTGCCTCCTTCAGTGACTTGGAGGATCTGGGAATAATATCAGATGAGTCGGACAATGCTGGAGCAGTAACTACTGTGGAGAGAGAAGAGCAGAATGCCAGGGATAACGGAGGTGGGGTGAAAAATTCAGTGATCGACAGTGAAGAACACAGTGCACTGCCAAAGAATGACGTAGTCTCACCTACTCCTCAAAGTGTTAGCAGGCCAGTGGGAGGGGCACCAACAGTAGAGAGCATGCTTCCAACAGAGAGACACAAAGAGCTTGTAACACTGATGAATACTTTCATCACCGTAGCTTCTCCTTCACATAGTGTCATCCCTGCCACGGTCACCAATGGGAACCAACCAGATAACCAGCCGGTCGAGCTAGCGAGTGTCCACCAGTGGGTCTCCCATATTGCAAGTAACTCTATCTCGCTCCCTTCCTTGCCACCCCTTCCACAAAACAATGATGTAGACAAGGAGATCCGGTCAGGTGACACATGTCTTGGAAGCAGTGTGGTAATTGGGGGTCAGGAAACAGAAGCCAATCTCTTTGAGAAGGCTGTTCTCCGAAGGAGACGGGCGCCCAAGCCACAAAGAATAACGGTACCCTCGAAAAGGAAAATCCCTGAGGCAACCATCATTTGCCAGGAGTGTGGGAAGAGTTTTGTCTATCTGTCTCAGCTTGAAAATCACCTCCGCATTCACACAGGAGAGAAACCTTTTAAGTGCATTGAGTGTGGCAGGGCCTTCAGGTCCTTAGGATACATGACCAATCATATGAAAAATCACTCTGAAGCACGGCCATTTAAGTGTGATGAGTGTGACAAGGGCTTTCGGAAAAAGGCTGACCTGAAGAAGCATGAGCCCATCCACATGGGTGCGAAACCACACAAATGCACCATCTGCGGAAAGGGCTTCACCCAAGCATTCTATTGCAGAATACACATTGAGTCTCATGCAAGTGAAAATAACTTTCCCTGCACTCATTGTCAGAAGAGATTCCCAACCCAATACAAGCTGTCTGTCCACGAGCGCTGGCACACCATGGAGCGCCCGTTCATCTGTGAGCATTGTGGAATGCGCTTCTTTCATCCCAGTGGGCTGAAGAGGCACATGGGCTATCACATTGGGAACCGCCCGTTTCTGTGTGCCCAGTGTGGAAGGACTTTTGTTTATGAATTTGACCTGAAGAAACACCAAAGGGACCATGGCCCCAAGCCCAAGATCCCATGCCCTGTCTGCCAGAAGGTGTTTGGCAGCAACGGACTCATTAAGGCCCACATGTTTACGCACACCTCTGTAAAACCTTACAGATGTGACATATGTGACAAGACCTTTAAACAGAGCAGCAGCTTGAGCAGTCACAAACGGCTGCACACGGGTGAACGCCCTTACCACTGCGACGTGTGTGGGAAGACATACAAGCTGAATCAGCACCTGAAGGAGCACATAATTATCCACCACACGGAGGAGGGGCACCCCTGTGACCAGTGTGGAAAGGTCTTCAAGTTACCACGTCTTCTAAAGGCGCATGAGCGGTTGCACTCAGGAGAGCGATCTGAGCAGACAAGGAAATACAGTCACACCAGCCGTCGCAGGAGACATTCCTCCAAAAGGAGTTGATTTTCTGCACAGTGGCTGCCCTCCACACTCACAATGACTGGGATACTCTTTTTTTTTTGTCCTGACAAATTGCCATTAGCTGTAATCATATTCCTCATTTTTAGTTGTAGACATTAGATTTTGGACCATTTCGGACCATAATTCAGGATTCCCTAAATAGACTGAACACTGAAAAATGGTATAATGTCTGGCTTAATTAATGCAGCAACAAACATGTATCCTGTTAGATAACAATTCATGATTGTGTCATTAAAACATATCTGTTTGTGATGCATTTTTTGGGATAGGTTATTGAAATTCCAATGACATAAGATGTGGTTTGATAGCTACTCAATTATTTATATTTTTGAGAGTAGTCAATGATTGCCGGATGCCTTTACTAAAAAATATGCACAACATATAAAGGCAAATAAAGTCAAAATTGTGTGGCACTACTCACTTGTTTTGCTATTTTAGTTGAAAACATTCACAGCAAAGGAAACCAAATGTATTCTAAAATGGTCCTGTGCGTTGACTTTTTATAATACATTTTAATTGTTAATTAAGCCACAAAAGTTCATTAAGCCACAAAATAAAGTGTCATACTCATCCAAATATATATACAGAAAAATGATTAAATTCATTTTTTTACCTAAAATGTAATTTCAAGAAGAGAGAGTAGACCCATTTAATTGCGGCTCTTATTCCAGCACGGTAGGTGGCGGTAATGATGTTATGCTGCCTATCTTGCTCTTAATTGTCTGCTGTTCTGTTTTTGGTTCCGTTACCATCTGTCGTTGTCGCCATTTTTCGTCATTGCATGTTGATGATAACTATCCATCATGCTACTAGTTACCTTTAATGTTAGATTTCTGCTTAGCATACATATCTGGTAACATTCCGGCATGGACAAACGAGTCAAGAAGACTACAGCCAGTACGGGTAGGTTACATTATGACACTTGCTACCCATGTATTAGCAATCTAACCAATTTTACAAATGTGAACCTGGCAACAGACCCAAGTCACTGCAGTGCAGAGCTAGCTAGCGACTTTATCTTCAATTGATAGCTAAGTGTAAAGCTAATGTCCATTTCATCTTGCCTTCTAAATTAAGTTTGCTAGCTAGTTAGCCATGTTGATGGAGGTATTTGTTGCTAAAGGACCTATAGGATGAAGCCACACAACCTAACATTTTGTTCTATCGTCCTGCTATAGGACCCCCACTTCCTCTCTCGTCTTTGCGACTATTGGTTTCTCCCCTGCGGCTGATGTATTCATTTGTGTGGCATGTGGTGAATCAACGCAATGTGATGCACTATGGGAAGGTCGCGGAGTTTGTAACTGTGGTGACTGAAGCTGTTCCAAAGTTGATGAGTTACAAACAGAGGGCTCAACTCATCCTGGGCTTGAGAGCAAGGGTGAGTGACATGATGTGTGGCCATGGGAGGGGTGGTTTTGACACAGTGTATTAGAAAAATCGTATACAATTGTGTCCCATTATTTTAGATGATCTTGGAGTTGTTCCGCAAGGACCCACCCAACCCTCAGGACATCCAACGTCTCCTGGAAAATATGAACATTTTGGGGGTAAGAATATTTATCTCCTGTGTGGCAGTGTGGAAATTCCGCCCCATACCGACACAAACTCACAACACACCTGTTCCACAACGTACTAAAGGATTACTGTCAATACCATTTGCGGACGACTACTTAAAAGAGAGTAACATTTGCACCCTAGTCTGATTTGAAAATAGCCTTTAGCTCTGTAGTGTACAGATCTGAGGGGACTGGATAAGTGCAAACGACATTGGATTCCTTACATCTGCAAAGTGCAAACACAGATGGGGTAAGAGATAAAAGTTGTTTTCAGGCCTGGTCTTATGACTTCTACAACCGTCACCCATACACTCAATACCCCTCTTTTTAGTAACATGTAATTCTGATGACCGAAGTGGCTGTACTTTGTATCAAATTATTCTCAATCTGTGTTACAGCAGCAAGATGCAGAAGTGGAGGAGTCGCAGGCTAACTTTGTGGCGCTGGTCCAAACCCTGCTGAAAAACCCTTATGAGAGGAAGCACTTCTTCCAGGTTCGGCAGGCTTTCTCCATTTCCTCTCACACTGTCCACTTTGTCATGTCATAGACACTGACTTTAACTTTTTCTTTCCTTCCCTGTAGGAGGAGTTCCATACACAGTATGGTTCCAAGTATGACACAGCACTGCAGGCCCTTGTGGGAGGCTTGGTTCTCAGACTGGAACGACTGCTATCTGTGCCAGATCTCTCCCAGGTAATGAACTTGTACACAACAAGTCTATAACGAACAATTCACCAATCATATCTAATGTTGACATTGTTAGACAATTATATATGTGTCAACACATTCCATAGTATTGTTTCTGCCACACCCTCTAAGAAACCCCCTTGTTGCTGATCTTAGCTTCTAACTCTCCTTCTCAGATAGCATCCATTATCAGTGCTGCCCCCTCTGACCTGGAGGAGTGTGGACAGTCTGTGTCTGACCCTGAGCACCTGAAGATCCTCCTCCAGCACCAGAACCTGCAAAATAAGATTCAGTTTGGTAGGGTTACTTTAATTATGATCTCTTATCCTCCCTGTTAATGTTAAGTAGAATTATCATCAGCTAAACAAAGAACAATGTAGTTTTCCCCAAACTGTCATGGTTCACTCTATTGATAACTTTGAACCAGCTGTATTTACAGGAACGTAAAATAGTTTTTCAATGGTATTAATGTAAACATGCTCATTCCTCGGCTTTCACATTCAACCAATCAGAATGTCATTTTTCTATATTTGTCCCTTTTTTTCAGTACCTGTCACTTCCTCTGTGGGTGACTGTGTGCTGTCTTCGCTGTCCTTCCGCCTCGCCTGTGGAATGCCATCAATGGAGCCAGATTTTGACAAGCCACCAGAATCATTAGAAGCCGCTCTAAGCATCATGAACCCTGCCTCATTCAGTGACTTGGAGGATCTGGGAATGATGTCAGATGACTCACCCCATGCTGGAGAAGATAGTACTGTGGAGAGAGAAGAGGATGCCAGGGGTAACGGAGGTGGGGCGAGAACTGCAGTGCGTGACAGTGAAGAAGAGAATGCACTGCCAGAGAGCGCTGTGGTCTTCTCTAGTCCTCAAGGTGTTAGCGGACTGGTGGGAGGGACACCATCAAAAGGTGCACCAACAGTAAGGAGTATGCTGCAAACAATGAGACAGCAACAGCTTGTATCACTGATGGATACTTCCATCACCGAAGACTCTCCTTCACAGATAGTCATCCCTGCCACTGATAACCAGCCGGTCGAGCTAACGAGTGTCGACCAGTGGGTCTCCCAAATTGCAAGTTACACTTTATCGCTCCATTCCTTGCCACCCCTTCCACAAAATGATAATTTGGACAAGGAGATGGAGTCGGCCGACACAGGTCTTGGAAGCAGTGTGGTGATCGGGGGTCAGGAAACAGAGGTCGATCTCTTTGAGAGGTCCATAATCCAAAGGAAGAGGGTGCAAAAGCCACTACGAGTAGCGTGCTCGAAAAAGAGAAACCCTGCAACCAACTCCTGCCAAGAGTGCGGGAAGCGTTTTCTGTCTCGGGGACGGCTGGAGGATCACCTCCGCATACACACCGGAGAGAAACCTTTCAAGTGCACTGATTGTAACAGGTTCTTCCGGACATTGGCACTCCTGACCAACCATATGAAAATTCACTCTGACGTGCGGCCCTTTAGCTGCGACGAGTGCGGCAAGTGCTTTCGAAGAAAGGTTGGCCTTCAGAATCACCATCGCGTCCACACGGATGTGAGACCATACAAATGCACCATCTGTGGAAAGGGTTTCACCCAATCACAGTACTGCAAAAGACACATGGATTGTCATACAAGTGAGAATACCTATTTCTGCACTCATTGTCCAAAGAGTTTTCCCAACCCAATTCCAGCTGTCCGCCCACCAGCGCTGGCACACCATGGACCGCCCGTACGCCTGTGAGCAGTGTGGGTTGCGCTTCTTTATGCCAAGCTTGTTAAAGAGACACATGGGCTATCACATCGGGAACCGCCAGTTCCTCTGTGCCCAGTGCGGAAGAACCTTTGTCTATGAGTTCGACCTAAAGAGACACCAAAAAGACCATGACCCCAGTCCCAAACTCCCCTGCCCCGTCTGCCAGAAGACGTTTGGCAACAACAGCCTACTCCAGGCCCACATACGCAGGCACTCTTCAGAGAAACCTTATAGATGTGACATATGCGACAAGACCTTTAAAGACAGCGGGGGCCTGCGCATACACAAGCGGGGGCTGCACTCGAACGAACGCCCTTACAGCTGCGATGAGTGTGGCAAGACTTACAAACTACACACGCACCTGAGGGAGCACAAGTTTAAACACACGGGCGAGGGCCACACCTGTGGCCAGTGTGGAAAAGCCTTCAGGTACCTGCGTCTCCTGAAGGCGCACGAGCGGTTGCACTCCGAGCCATCTGAGCTCACACGGAGAAACAGTCACACCAGCCGTCGAAGGAGACATTCTTCCAAAAGGAGTTGATTTTTTCACATCTGCACACCCTTTACTGTGGCTATAGTATTAAACTTTGTCACAGTTCCATGTCATTAGCTGTACGGGCATTATGTCGGACAGCCCAGCCTCCAATTGTATGCAAGGTTTCCTCTGTGTTATCTTAGGAATGCTGCATTCTCACACCATCCCCCATTCTGTCACATCGCTGTGGTGCAGAGGTGCGACGTGATGGGGGATGGTGAGATGATTGACCTGAACAGAGAAGAGGGGCTCTGCTGTTCAGGACTGCTGCTCACTGAGTTTAGCTTCCTCCCTCTATGGTCCTCCCCCTCTGAACAGACATACTGGGACTCTACAGGCCCTTACTACATGATACACAGCATATCCAGTATAGAAGGGTTTCCCAACTGGCGGGCCAAATTTAGTTTTATTTGTGTTCTAAAAAATAAGTGGTTTTTTTTTGGTTTAATTTTCATTGTTGGACATAAGACTGTAAAAATACCAGGAAGTCAGCTCCAATGGATTTTAATTTTGGAAATCTGTTCCCAAGTATTCCCACGCATAATAGAGAGATGTGATGTATACAAATAATAATTACGAATAATTGATTGATTTATAGCACTTTTCTACCAACTGAGGTACTCAAAGCTTTATATAGTAGGAATAGTAGAAATTCACCTCATCCACCATCAATGTGTAGCACCCACCTCAGTGATGCATGGGGACCATTTTTGTGGCAGAACTCTCACCACATCAGCTATCAGGTGGAGAGGTGAGGAGTGATATATGCCAATTAGGAATGAGGGGGATGATTAGGTGGCCATGATGGAATGTGGCCAGGTTGGAAATGTAGCCATGACACCGGGGTGAACACCCCTACTCTTACAATAAACGCCATGGGATTTTGAATGAACACACAGTCAGGACACCCGTTTTAATGTCCCATCCGAAAGATGTCACCCTACTACACAATGTTCCCAAATGTAATCAAGGTATGAAAAAAAGAAAGAAAAAAAAGTTGGCACTCACTAACTGTAAGTCAGAGCGTCTGCTAAATGACTAAAATGTAAATGTTTGAAATGATTGTTTTAGTCAAATATATCTGTTTAGTAAATTTGCAGTCCAAAAATTGGCCGGTGGCAGAATCTAGTTGATGATCCCTGCAGTAAGGGTCTGAAGTCATTTCAAATCATGGGATGTCATACATAGTCTGTTTTGGAGGGGGTACCAGCATTGCACATAGTCTCAACAGCCATGCATACAAAACAGGTTATGCATCTGAAGGCTCCCAGAAAACCTGTGGATCTGCAATTCATAAAGTAAATCTGTGGAATTATGTTCAGTGAGGTGTGTTAGGTAAACCAGTAAAACAACCTCCACTGACAGGTAAAGTATGCTCTCGAGAATGTGCTTTTAATATTTTGTCTTGGATCAGGATTGGGGGTCAATTACAGTTCAATTCAGGAACTTCCTAATAGAAAATAATTTCAGTTACTGACTGAATTGATATATAATTGACTCCAACCCTGATTTGGGTACAGTCTCATGGCTTCTCCTGCAGTGTAATTGACTCCAACCCTGATTTGGGTACAGTCTCATGGCTTCTCCTGCAGTGTAATTGACTCCAACCCTGATTTGGGTACAGTCTCATGGCTTCTCCTGCAGTGTAATTGACTCCAACCCTGATTTGGGTACAGTCTCATGGCTTCTCCTGCAGTGTAAGCACCAGAGGGATTCAGATTCAGTGTGTAATAGTCACATGTACAGGGTTGCAGGTGTAACTGCGGGGTACAGTGAAAATCTTAGGGTCCGAACTCCAACAGAGTGTAGTTCTTCAATTTGTGCTGCTTCTATCACAATGTTCTTGCTAAATTAAAAAGCTTGTAGGCTACATTGATTTGTGTTGTTTATTTTGGACATAAAACAGTCCAAATATGTACGTGCCACACATTTCCTGTTGTGCAACATTTCTTTCCTGTAACTGCCTTTTAAACCTTGAGAGAGAGTTTTTTTCTCTCCAGATGCATCATTACCCTTCTTGGAGGCACATCGGAAATTTGTGAACATATGTGTTATGGCTATGCTGGAGTTGTCATTGATGTTTGTTTTTTTATGAATCATGACATTTATCAGGTGGATGTTAGTTTGCCTCATCAGTCTTTTGATATCAACAACATTTTGTGGTAAGCAATACACTAAGTTAATATTGTTTTAATAGTTATAGCTTAACCAGATTGCAACAGATGTCTAATTTTTCTGTGTGAAATCTTGGATCACTCCAAAAAAATGAATTACAGACTTATCTATTTTGGAATGTATTTCACACATTTCTCTGGCAAACAATAGTCAACAAAACTACAGTTGCAGTCATCAATACTAAGAAAACCTGTGCAAGCACACATTTGTTATTCTGGAAACATCTACCTGTGAGGGAAATCTAATAGGCTAGGTCATCCATTCTTTATGCATGGCGAAAAAGAGCTACGGTACCCTACTGTACTGCTATGCAGGTCCGACTGAATTCCAGCCGTCTTTGTGAAAATGTTTCTTTGTTCTACATGAATACGTTATTTTTCAGAATTGAACAGATTACATTTTGATCTTGTTGAATGTTGTTCTCCCAATCCCACACTCCATTTTTTGTTTAATCTCATGTCATTCCTCATGCCTTGTGGTCCTAAGAGAAAGAGCAGTGAGTCTGATTGTCTGATTTCAAAATAAATGACTAAGTATGAATGACAAATAAATAACACTACTACACATTACTTAAATGGTCACATGCATTCATTTTACAGTTTAGTGATTTTGCAGACGCTCTTATCCAGAGCGACTTACATGAGCAATTAGGGTTAAGTGCCTTGCTTAAGGGCACATCGACAGATTTTTCACCTAGTCGGCTCTGGGTTTAGAACCAGCGACCATTCGGTTACTGGCACAACGCTCTTACCCACTAAGCTACCTGCGGCCCATTCCTTTTACGAATATTAACAAAAGGTTTCAATTAAATCAACAGTAGGCTTAAGCCATGTTGGCCAACAAACACGCATCCTTTCATTGCTTTTGTTTAGGCTGTGTTGGAGGTGGAAGAGCTGTCAAATAGGTGAGCGGCTGCTGTTGTGGTTTTTGTCATGAAACAACACCCGTACTTATATCCCACCCACGTTAGAAGTTCTGAAAATGAAAGTGTAGGCTATATAAAAAGGACACTTTTTTTTTTACATGATAGGGATTTATATCAGCCTAATTGAGGTGTAGATTGTGCCCTACATCACACATTCCAGTGTTCGAATTTGTAATTTGTACAAAGGTAGCCTACCCCAGGGTCCCGTGTGGATTTGACAACTTTAAAGCTAGTTACACCTCTTGACACCACCTAAACAAAAGCAATGAAAAGCGATTCATTTGTGGGCTAACGCGGGTACAGCTGATCTGATTGAATCCTGGCTTAGAGCTGTGACCTTTTGTAATATTTTTTTTAATTTTTCATGTGATTGTTTACTCATATTATGAACAAAACGAAAGTCCTCAAGACCAGGTTGAACTTCATTCAACAAAGATGTACCATACCATGTCCCAGTAAAAAGAAAAAAAACACACATCAGTCTTGAAAAAACAGTATTGATTACAAAGTCAATCAGAAACAGAATGGGAAAAGTATGTTTATTTTCATGTTAACTGTGGTTCATATCTATCTCAGAGCTCCATTCTTTTGAGTTTTAAAAGTTTTTTATTTTGTCTTCTTTTTTTTCTTCTTATTTATTATATATATATATATATCTATATATATATATATCTCTTTTTTGGGGGGGGTAGATCAGCTTAATATTGCAGATAGATTGTAACTTCCATCAATGTAATTGTCTGCATCACTTCCAATCCCCCATGTTTTTATATATATATATATATATATATACACACACATACATACATCTACATATACACACATACACACACACACATACACACCCACCTACATACAGTGGGGAGAACAAGTATTTGATACACTGCCAATTTTGCAGGTTTTCCTACTTACAAAGCATGTAGAGGTCTGTAATTTTTTATCATAGGTACACTTCAACTGTGAGTGACGGAATCTAAAACAAAAATCCAGAAAAACACATTGTATGATTTTTAAGTAATTAATTTGCATTTTATTGCATGACATAAGTATTTGATCACCTACCAACCAGTAAGAATTCCGTCTCTCACCGACCTGTTAGTTTTTCTTTAAGAAGCCCTCCTGTTCTCCACTCATTACCTGTATTAACTGCACCTGTTTGAACTCATTACCTGTATAAAAGACACCTGTCCACACACTCAATCAAACAGACTCCAACCTCTCCACAATGGCCAAGACCAGAGAGCTGTGTAAGGACATCAGGGATAACATTGTAGACCTGCACAAGAATGGGATGTGCTACAGGACAATAGGCAAGCAGCTTGGTGAGAAGGCAACAACTGTTGGCGCAATTATTAGAAAATGGAAGAAGTTCAAGATGACGGTCAATCACCCTCGGTCTGGGGCTCCATGCAAGATCTCACCTCGTGGGGCATCAATGATCATGAGGAAGGTGAGGGATCAGCCCAGAACTACACGGCAGGACCTGGTCAATGACCTGAAGAGAGCTGGGACCACAGTCTCAAAGAAAACCATTAGTATCACACTACGCCGTCATGGATTAAAATCCTGCAGCGCACGCAAGGTCCCCCTGCTCAAGCCAGCGCATGTCCAGGCCCGTCTGAAGTTTGCCAATGACCATCTGGATGATCCAGAGGAGGAATGGGAGAAGGTCATGTGGTCTGATGAGACAAAAATAGAGCTTTTTGGTCTAAACTCCACCCGCCGTGTTTGGAGGAAGAAGAAGGATGAGTACAACCCCAAGAACACCATCCCAACCGTGAAGCATGGAGGTGGTAACATCATTCTTTGGGGATGCTTTTCTGCAAAGGGGACAGGACGACTGCACCGTATTGAGGGGAGGATGGATGGGGCCATGTATCGCGAGATCTTGGCCAACAACCTCCTT